AGGCCCGAGTTTATACAGTTGATCAAGCAGAGGCCGAGCAGCAGCCAGGTACTATGTCAGGGATGGTTGTGCTTAATAATGTTCCTGTGTTTGCTTTGTTCGATACTGGAGCGAAACATTCTTTCATTTCACGACGATGTCTTGAGGCCATCGGAGTTCATGTCGTTACCGATGTCGATCCTCTCGAGGTGAGTTTAGCCTCGGGACGAAAGATAGTGACCTCAGCTAAAGCTTCAGATCTTACCCTTTCTATCAGTGGCCGAGTATTGTCTACCGACGCGTTTGTTCTCGAGATGAAGGATTTTGACCTTATTCTCGGAATGGATTGGCTATCCTTTTATCATGCGGATATCAGATGTCATGACCGGGAGATTACTCTCTATCTTCCGGGAGGCGATTCGATCACTTTCTTTGGCTCCAGGAATCGTTCATTGCCTCATGTTGTTTCAATGGAGAAAGCCACTAAGTTGTTGCGACGAGGCAACTGCCAGGGTTATCTGGTGAGCCTTGTCGATGATTCTCAGAAAGCACGATCACCTCACGATGTTCCAGTTGTTCGTGAGTTCGTGGACGTGTTCCCAGACGAACTTCCAGGAGGACCGCCTAACCGGCAGGTGGAGTTCTCTATTGATCTCATTCCAGGAGCCGGCCCAGTATCCAAAGCCCCATACCGTATGGCGCCGAAGGAGTTGCAGGAGCTTAAGGCACAGATTTAGGAGTTATTACGACTCGGTTTTATCCGACCGAGCGTGTCACCTTGGGGAGCACCCATTCTCTTTGTTAAGAAGAAGGACGGATCCATGCGCATGTTTATCGACTACTAGGATCTTAATCGGTTGACGATCAAGAACAAGTATTCGCTTCCCAGGATCGACGACTTATTCGATCAGTTGAGGGGAGCCTGTGTATTCTCAAAGATTGATTTACGATCAGGCTACCACCAGCTGAAGATTAAGGAGTGAGATATCGCTAAGACCGCTTTCAGGACTCGTTACGACCATTACGAGTTCGTCGTCATGCCATTCGGCCTCAGTAATGCTCCAGCGGTTTTCATGGACCTGATGAACCGTATTTTCCATCCCTACCTCGATCAGTTTGTTATTGTCTTTATTGACGATATTCTTATCTACTCGAAGAGCCAGAAGGAGCACGAGGAGCATCTGAGGGTGGTTGTCGAAACCCTCAGACGAGAAAAGTTATATGCCAAATTCTCCAAATGCGAGTTTTGGCTCCAGCGAGTAGCCTTTCTGGGTCATGTGATTACTCAGGCAGGTATCGAGGTGGATCCTTATAAAGTCTCAGCTGTTCAGAACTGGTCGACACCGAAGAGTCTGTCCGAGGTTCGTAGTTTTCTCAGTCTAGCTGGCTACTATCGCAGGTTCATCGAGGGCTTTTCTAAGATTGCCCTCCCACTATCCTAGCTGACGAGGAAGTCTGTGAAGTTCGAGTGGACTGACCGATGTGAGTCGAGCTTCCAAGAGCTCAAGAAGAGATTAACTTCAGCCCTGGTGTTGACTATTCCCGATCCTTCTTGGAGTTTCACCATCTTCAGTGATGCTTCGAAGCAGGGACTGGGATGTGTACTCATGCAGGACGGCCAGGTCATTGCTTATGCGTCACGTCAGCTCAAGCCGCATGAACAGAACTATCCAACGCACGACTTGGAGTTAGCCGTAGTTGTTCATGCTCTCAAGATCTGGCAACATTATCTTTACGGTGGTCGTTGCGAGATTTTCACAGATCATAAGAGCCTGCAGTACATTTTCACGCAGAA